ACTCTTGCCAGGCGAGCTCCGGGCCCGCTCCGTCATTGGCCGGCGGCCCACGCGGAGGGAGGGAGGGAGGGGGGGCGGGGATGGCCGGCGATCTCCGCGCCCAGGCGGGCGACCTCTGCGTGCCCGGCCGGTGGCTGGAGGGCAGCGGAGGGGGTGCGGGAGGGCAGAGGCTCTGCATGGAACACGGCTCAGGGCCTCCTCCGGCTGCTGGGGGCTTCCTCGGGGCCGCTCTCTGGCTTCCAGGAGCCTGAGCAGAGGAGGGGGCCGGTGCGTCGCCTCCCCAGCACGCGCGCTCCTTGCTGCACCCTGCTGGTGCCCGTGAAGAGGACGGGGCAGCAGTCGTGTATTTTCCGAGCACGTCTGAAACCAAAAAGAGCCCTCTCTCTCGGTTTTCGAAGAGGGCCGGAGGGGCTGTGGCAGGGCCGTCGGAGGGGGTAGACCAAGATGGGTGGCCGCGCTTGTCTGCCTGGAGCAGCAGAGAGGAGCCGGAGTCCAGGAGCCCCTCGAAGACGTCTCACATTTGTGGCCGGGGAGGGGCTTGCCTGAGTCACCGCTCGCCTCTGCAGATGGTTTTGTTGGCCTTTCAGGCCTCCTGGCCTCTTCTCTACTGCTACAGACAGACTAACAGGGCCCCACCCATCTTGATCTGTCGCAGTAGAAAAGAGCCAACGTCCAGGAGCACCTAAAAGGCTCACCAAATGTGGGGCAGGGGAGGAGCTTTCAGGAGTCACGGCTTTCCTCTTCAGATGCTGCTAGAGGGGTTGTCTGGTGGAAGTCAGGCCTGATCTTGGGGAGCAGTTAGGGGTGGCAGGGGCATGGAAATGTGGGCACAGACCCTCCGGTGGCCTCTGGCATCTTCTTGGAATCTGTAAGGCAGCACAACCGGCCCCCAGGAAGGATGCCACAGGCCGGCCTTTCCCAGTCTTTTGGCTCACTTCTTTATTCTTCTGCTGTACCACAGCAGCCATGAAATTAAAAGACGGCTGCTCCTTGGGAGGAAAGCGATGGTGAACCTAAACAGCATGATAAAAAGGAGAGACATCACCCTGCCAACAAAAGTCCGCATGGTCCAAGCAATGGTATTCCCAGTAGTCATGTATGGCTGTGAGAGTTGGACTATAAGGAAGGCCAAGCGCCGAAGAATAGATGCTTTTGAACTGTGGTGCTGGAGAAGACTCTTGAGAGTCCTTTGGACTGCAAGGAGATCAAATCAGTCAATCCTAAAAGAAATCAACCTGAAGCTCAAATACTTTGGCCACCCAATGAGAAGGGAGCCCTCACTGGAGAAGACCCTGATGCTGGGAAAGATTGAAGGTCAAAGAAGACGGGGATGGCAAAGGATGAGATGGTTAGACAGCGTCATCGATGCAACGAACATGAAACTGAGCAAACTTCAGAGGACGGCGGAAGACCGGAAGGCCTGGCGGGAGCTGGTTCATGGGGTCGCAAAGAGTCGGACTCGACTGTGCGACTGAACAACAACACCACAGATAGAGGGATGGCCGGCTGCGGAGGGAAACCACAGAGTTGGAGGCTTCCTGCAGGTCCCTTTGATGAGTCCTGAGGGCTCCTGCCACCCTGGATCCATTCCTGGCTAAGGCCCCACAAGCTCCTCCTCTGTTGTCTCTGCTCCACCAGGGGAGCCGGCCCATCCCTTGTGCCCAGGAGGCTGCAGTCGCCTGCAAGATTGCCCTGGGCTCAAGGGGGCCACGTGGGGCACGGGATGGGGGCCTATGGTCAAGAGGAGGCGCAGGGGCCTTCCTCCTACCCAGTCTTTCACTGGGGCCCCTAAAATCTTGCTGGGCCCCTGCTGACCAGTGTTCCCTCTTAGCTGAGTTAGCGTGAGCTAGCTCACCGTTTTTCAGCCTCCGGCTCACACATTTCTGTCTTAGCTCAGGAAGGAGGGCTCCGGAGCAAACTGATTTATGCAGTAGCCAAATGGCTTGCTCACAACTTTCAGTAGCTCACAAAAGTAGGATTTCTGCTCACAAGACTCCACAGATTAGAGGGGGCATTGCTGCTGACTGATCCTGCCAGGAGCTGAGAGGGCCGGCAGGCGCATTGGGGAGAAGGGCTCAGGCCAGGAAACAAAACGGGGACGTATGGGGTGGGGTTTCCTTCCTGTGCCTTTGTGTTGGTGCACACCCAGACATCCCAAGCCGGGGCAGGCACTCTCAAGCCTGCCTTGCGGGGCTGCCTCTCCCCAGGCCCTTGCTGCTGCTTCTCCCCACAGGCACCCGAAGGGAGGCAAGCTCCGTTGCTGGGCCTAGGAAGGAACTGGTTGGCCAGGTGGGGCGAGACAGAGGGGATGCTGCTGGTCTCTTCTCACCTTCTGAACGGCTGACCTCCTCTAGCGCTGGGGGGGGGGGGGCGGGGGGGGTTCCGTCAAGGGCCCCGTGAGCCGCCCCCACCTGCCTCTGCGGG